TATCTCTTTTTCTAATATTGATGATCACAGCTCAGATATTCTCTGTTCAGCTCACAGAGTCTCTCAACTTATTCTTTAGATAGATTTTGAGAACAGATTATCAGAATCTCTCATGATCATTTTCTAGATAATTCAGTCAGTTCTTGACTTCAGTGTAATAGAGGCCTGTCATTGTATAGATGACAGCTTCTTCATCTTTTATATCACACAGCTGAGCTTGTAAGTCAATTTCAAATACAAACTTGCAAAAGCTTTTATAGATTGTGATTCAATAAGTAATCTTAAGTGATTATAACTTAAGAAAGTTTCTTTTCAGTTCATAGATGTCTCTGAAGATCATGTCTAGAGACTCAGTTTGAGAGTGTTTGTAGACAGTAAGCATTTCTTATAGAAAAATAGCTTAGTTCTGTAGAAGATGCTCAAGAATGTTCTTCACTGAGATTGATTTATTCATGAGTTCAGAGAATTTCTCTGTCTGAGATGCAGAGAATGATGTTCTGTGAGTGATTGATAAGTTCTCTGAGACTTCTTTTACAGAAGTTATTCATGATTCAGATTACTGCTTCTGAGTGTCTGCAGTAGAGTTCACAGAGATGAGAGTATATAAGTTTCTAGTTCTTTCAGTCATAACAGGTGATTGCTGACTGACTGAGCTTGAAATGTAAGAATAAGTGCTCACAGATGATTATTCAGATGTTTACAGCTTGACATGATATATACTGTTAACTACTAGAAGTATTCACAGTAGAAAGATAAAATGTAGAGATTAAATATATAATAGCATTCAAGCTGAGTTGTGAATAGTATTCATGAACTTCAGTCTATATAGTTGTGTGTAGTCAAGGGCCGCTAGCCCTATTGATTACACGAGAGATAGGAATAGAAGTAAAGAATCCGCGAGGAGCAGGATTTCTTACACCTCTAGACCTTCATTATTCACTCAATTTGTGAAATCATCTGCTTTCTTAATTGCAGTATCATTGTCAATATAAATGATCTTTGTAGTACAGTTGAATTGACATTTAATTCAATTGATAGCTTGCTTAAGAGCTTTTCAGATTTCTGATTTTCAGATAGCTGTTATAGCTATATGAAAACATAGATAATCACACATGAAATGTATGAGATAACACTTATCATTATAGCACTGTGTAGAGTCATGTGTGATATCTGTGTGTAGGCGTTCAAATGATATTTGAGATCTAACATAAAGACATCTAGATATTTGATTTTTTACATTAGATAGATAACAGAGTTTACAAAGCTCAGTGATAAGCTCATCTGCAGCATCTTCTAGATTAGTGATTTAAACACCAGTTGCATCATTTGCAAGCTTTTGAATGATGATTTTTGATGAATGTTCTAATCTCTTATACTATGTAGACTGAGTAGCTATAGAGATCTTAGGTTTTTGAGAAGGTTTTGTGTGTATTACCAGGTTGAAAGAAGAATGATTTGTAGAAGTTGAAGAATTTGAAGATTTCATTTTTTCAGATATAGTGATGTTAGATGTGTGTGATGAGATAGCTGCATCAGCTTCAGTAGTGAATTTTTCTGATATAGTTAAGAAAACAGTTATATTACTATATTCTGTAACTAGCAACCTCTTAAATACTTCAATATATGCAAAGATTGTATTATCTGCATGTTTTCACAATCTGAAGTCTTTTTCATTATAATAGATGTCTTCTATATGAAAACACAGTTTCCATGTGATGATATTTATATGAAAATTCAGAATGTAAGCTGTGTTAATGAGTTTGACATTGAACTGCTTTTCTGCTTCATTTATCATGATAGTTCTAACAGTTTCATAACCTTCAACTTTAGTGCTGGAATCACCTGTATAGACTTTCACATTCTCATTCACAGGTGTAAAGAATAGAAAATGTGTTCGATTATTGCATATATACTGTTTCACATCAGTATCAAAGATTCAGAAGTTTCAGAGATAGAAGTGAGAATATGAAGAGTTTATTAATATTTTTCAGATTTGCTGATTGATAGATTGATGATCAATAGATTGATAATTGATAGATTGATGATTAATAGATTAATGATCAATAGATTGATGATCAATAGATTAATAATTAATAGATTGAGAAACTAATTACTTCAGAATCATTTCTTCTAGAACTGCTTCATTAACATCTATCATATCTGTATTTGTGAATAAATCTCTAGATATTGCATGATCAATACATCTCTTCAATTCTTAATTCTTAAGAGCTTGATTGATCTGAGTTCTCTTCTCTCTGTTTTTCTTTCATTCAGGTGACTTTCTTGATGAATTGAGATAGTAGCACTGAGCGTATTAATAATGAGCTCCGTAGATGCAGTTTCTGAATGTCACTGATCTTTCATTAAGAGTAGTGAAGTTCATAGATTTATCTTCTTTGAGAATACTCATTTCTCTATATCATTTCTTGAAGTTCTTAACTAACTCTATCAAAGATATGACATCTTTATCACATCAGATATTCTTTACTCATACTTGTACATATTCTGTATCAATAGCTAGATTCATATTTAAGAAGTCTTTCTTCAAGTTGAACTGTTCAGCTATATTCATCTCTTTGATATTATCTTTGATAAGTGATCAGTCATTTAATCACTTCTCTATACCTCTGTTTTTCAGTGCTTTGCAGAGATCATGATATCAGGTTCTCATATTATCTTGATAGTCTGCAGTTGTGAGTGAGAGACAATCTCTTAATGAATGAATAATCTTCTTCATATTATCATTCTCACTGTGTACATGTCATAGCTCTGTGACATTCACTGTTCTTCATATAATATCTTGTATCTTTGTCATATCTTCATTCATTTTTTCATATTTTATATATTTGATTTTTCACACAGTGATCTTAATGTCATATACTATCTTGACCTCTGTGATGACTTCTTCTAAACACTCAGGTTTCAGAGATTCTTCTAGTTCAGAGAAGATATTAAGTTTATCAAGATTGATGAAGTCTGATATCTTCTTGTTCTTTGCATATTCTAGTATATACTTATATCAAAGTTTTCAATCTTCAGAAACACTAAGATGTACAGTTGCACTAGACATTGTCTTGTCTGTCATATCAGTCAAGTATTTTGAATAGATATGATCAGAATTCAGAGTGTATAACAGTTAATTATATCAGAATGTATACAAGTGAGAATCTATCATCTCAGTTCAAATAATAGTTATCAGTTTGAATGAGAATTAAGATCAGTGTATGATATAACAGTTAAGTATTTTGAACTGTATATGAATGAGGAATAATCATCTCAGTTCAAATGATTGTTATCAGTTCAAATGAGAATTAAGATCAGTGTATCGCGCTTCTCTTCAGATGCTGCTTATCAGAAATCAGGTATAACAGTTAAGTAGATTGAACTGTATACAAATGAGAATCAATCATCTCAGTTCAAATGATTGTTGTCAAATTCAAATAAGAATTGAGATTGTGATGTATCATGCTTCTCTTCAGATGCTGCTTATCAGGCTTATAACTGTCAGATTGAGTGTCACAGATGAATATGTTGAAGACATATAAATCTTATTTGTATCAAGATCTGCTTGTTATATTATCTGTACACTATCTCATATATCTATTTCATATAAAAGATGAAGCTATTTATAGTAAAATATATGTATGAGTCAAGAGAGCTAGCATAAGTGAGTATTAGATGAGCATTGTAGTAAGCTGATAATAATGAGAAATATTGTAGTAATACGATGTTGGTGGCGTTCAGTAGTGTATAACTATAGACTACTGAGGTAAAAGAGCTCAATCATCACCAGCGCCTGCTGGTAGAAGGGCCGATCAACCGCGGGACTCTTAACACTCTCTCTCGGATCAGCTATCACTAGACTGACCGTGTGACCGTGTCTGAGATCAGAATCAGAATTTTTGATAGTTTCATTGTCAATTTGACAGATTTCATTACACAGTTCTAACATTAGATAGTAGTTTCATACTGTCTCAGTGAAACTTACTGTCTACTCTTATCACATTTTTCAAATGAGATCATGATTTTCACTTCTCAATTTAAATTATTTTTATTGCTTTAAATGACTTTAAATCTTATTTGAGTGTTATCAAAAAGTGTTACTTTTTAAAAAATTAAAAATAGTCTAAAAAAAACCTTAAAATGTCTATAAATAGTAACTTTATGCCAAGAATGAGACTAAATGAGATCAAATGAGATCACTTTCTCATTTTTTTCAAGTCATGATTTCATTTTGAGATCTGATATATAGTCACTTTGCATGTTTATTTAATGATTAGTCCCAGCGGGATTCATGTTAAGAAATGTATGAGATCAGACCAAATGAGACCAAACATGAAATTCATGGTCTCAGCGGCCAGTCTAGCTATCACAGAGTACAATACTTTCCCTCAGTGACTCTCTTCAGTGACCTTCTCACAATGGCTTCTTTTTAATAATGGACTGGACCACTCAGTTCTAGGACTTAATGGGACTTCTAGGGCACACTCCTGGGATGTCTCTTGGCACTGTTAAAATGTTCAAGGGTATTTGTTAGGAATTTTTTAAGTCCATTCTGAGATTGAACCCATGCATGTTGACCACAGCGGGGCTCACGCTCAACGGTCTCATAACCTGTAGGCTACTGGGGCAAAAGAGCTCAATCACCACCAGCGCCTGCTGGTAGAAGGGCCGACCAACCGCGGGACCCCCAACAATAACCTCTTTTTCCTGACAAAGGACTTACTGCGTATGTTCCACCTCCGTAGAAATGTTATATTGAAACTCCAGTACTGGATTCAAATTGTGCCGGCCCGCATCTTCAATGTTTAGAGGCTTAGGTCCTAAAGAATAGGCACTCAATGGTGCCCAGCCAGCTGAGCAATAGGCACAACAGGCGTCAGCAGACCGCGAAATCACCTCTAAACAGTTTCAGGAGGGATGGTATTCTCTCTTACCACTTTTAAATTACTAGCGTTTGGAAGCGACTTTATGTTTCCACATCTCCGAACCGTAGAAATATGTCCACTGGCAGCGCTAAACCCGTTCTGGAGTATTGCGTCTTCAAGGCCCCGGAGAAGGGTTGCCGGCTTTGTAAGCGATTCTAGCCAATAAGCATCGACGATTCCTAGTCTGGAAGGCTTAGCAAGGGCAAATAATTTCAGATAATTTCAGTTCGTTCTCCACCTCCGAACTTCCCCAGGGCCAGGACGACGGACGGCCAGATCTCCTCTCTCCCGGCCATCTCACCCGCTCCACCACATCCCACCTCGCACATCACGCTGCCTCACACGAGTCCTCAGGACCTCAGGAAGCTGGCCTTCTTATCGCGCGCTGATGGCTCTTGCTAATTTATTTTCCAGGGTTAACGTTACAACCAGAACGTAAATAATAAAGACAACTCGCCTTGTGTCACATACTGCTGAATGTGAAACCCGCAGCCCCTCAGCCTCCTCTACTACCTACCACCACCCCCGTGTTCCCTGTTCGTCAGCGGAATATCCCACAAACTTCTAGATCCCGTCGTCGAGATGATTTAGTTAGTTTTCTCCATTGATAAGTCTACACGCCTCACGGAATTATCTTCTCATTGGATATTATTGCTTTACCATGGCGTCGTCTTCCGCTCCGCTTTTGCAAGGAGAGGATCTCGATCCGGCGCCTGGGGGCTCACGATCCCCTGCGCATATGGCCACCACAACTCTCAAAGTTGATGGAATGACTTGTGGCGCATGTACTTCTGCTGTTGAGGCTGCCTTTAAAGGCGTCGAAGGCGCAGGAACTGTGTCTGTCAGCTTGATCATGGGTCGGGCAGTAGTACACCATGATCCGACCATTCTCTCAGCGGAAAAGGTCGCGGAGATGATAGAGGATCGGGGTTTTGACTGCTCAATCTTGGCCACTGATATGCCACGAGAAATACCTCAGGTAGAGGAAGAGTACGATGGAGGGAATGATTTACTCGAATCCACCCCTAGTACACCATCCGTTTCGACTACAACGCTCAAAGTGGGAGGAATGACTTGCGGGGCGTGTACATCCGCAGTGGAAGGAGGATTAGCTGATAAACCTGGCGTCATTTCCGTAACAGTGTCCTTACTATCCGAACGCGCCGTTGTGGAACACGATATATTTGTGATATCTCCTGAGCAGATCGCTGAAATCGTCGAAGACTGTGGATTTGATGCTGAAGTCCTGGAAACCGTTACCCGACAGCTAAACTCATCTTCGTCACGAGGGAAGTCCGCGTCTAGAAAAAGATCGAACCATGTAACTACAACCATGTCTATTGAAGGCATGACTTGTGGGGCATGTACTTCTGCTGTCGAAAATGCCCTCAAAGACCAACCTGGGCTGGTTCGCTTCAATGTCAGCCTGCTAGCTGAACGTGCAGTTGCGGTTCATGACCCTTCAGTCCTACATGCTGCAGCAATTGCCGAACTAATCGAAAATGCCGGTTTTGACGTGCGCATCATCTCTTCCCGGGAGGACGACTCATTTCAATCACACACATCAGCATCATTAGCGCTAAATATCTTCGGCCTGGCTGGCTCAACGGCGGCTATAGATCTGGAGGATGCGCTCAGAGCAGTCGACGGTGTTTTGGCCGCTGATGTTAAGCCGTCTAATTCTCGTGCTTTAATCAGCTATACCCCGTCCAAAGTGGGGATACGACAATTAGTTGAGCTTGTTGAACGGGCAGGATACAACGCCCTCTTGGCAGAGTCCGACGATAGCAATGCTCAACTCGAATCCCTCGCCAAAACAAAGGAAATCCATGAGTGGCGGAGGGCATTTTGGTTCTCTTTTTCTTTTGCAGTTCCCGTGATGGTGATTAGTATGCTTGTTCCGATGTATATTCCGGCAATCGATATCGGAAAATTCGAGCTCATTCCTGGCTTATTTTCCGGAGAAATCATCTGCCTGCTTCTTACCATTCCTGTTCAATTTGGCATTGGAAAGCGGTTTTATATTTCGTCATTCAAATCCCTCAAACACGGCGCCCCAACAATGGATGTTCTTGTCATGCTTGGTACCTCTGCCGCATTCTTTTTCAGTGTCCTTGCAATGTTAGTCTCGATATTCTTCAAACCCCATTCTCGGCCGATGACCGTGTTTGAAACCAGCACTATGCTTATTACATTTATTACCCTCGGCCGGTGGCTGGAAAATCGAGCAAAAGGCCAAACATCTCGTGCGCTATCTCGTTTGATGTCCCTCGCTCCCTCTATGGCAACTATATACGATGATCCCATAGCAGCCGAAAAGCTTGCTGAGGGCTGGGGTTCTGTGACTGAAAAGGACAAGAACACTACTACTGCAGTTTCTACCAGCCAGAAGACGATCCCTACGGAACTAATCCAGGTTGGTGATGTCGTCTGCCTCCGTCCCGGCGATAAGGTTCCAGCGGATGGGGTCGTTATTCGAGGAGAGAGTTATATAGACGAGGGTATGATTACTGGTGAGGCTGTTCCCATTCGTAAAATCAAGTCTTCACAGGTCATGGCTGGCACTGTCAATGGCACTGGTTGGGTTGATTTCCGGGTTACGAGAGCCGGTCGAGATACCCAATTGAGCCAGATAGTCAAATTGGTTCAAGATGCACAGACCAGTCGTGCCCCTATCCAGAGAATGGCGGATATAGTGGCTGGCTACTTTGTTCCAGCCATTATCACTCTTGGGCTTATTACCTTTTTTGGATGGATGATTCTTAGTCACATTCTTCCAAATCCACCTAAAATCTTCCTTGCCGAAAATAGCGGTGGAACATTCATGGTCTGCTTGAAACTTTGCATATCGGTTGTTGTTTTCGCCTGTCCCTGTGCTCTTGGCCTTAGCACGCCCACAGCGGTTATGGTAGGTACAGGAGTCGGTGCCGAACATGGCATATTGGTCAAAGGCGGGGCAGCCCTGGAAGCAGCGACCAAAGTAACCCATGTTGTGTTCGACAAAACAGGAACCTTAACGATGGGCAAAATGAGCGTGTCGGAGATTAAAATGGACTCAACATGGTCCTCCAATGACTGGCGGCGTCGCCAGTGGTGGTTGATCGTTGGGCTTGCTGAGCTGACCAGTGAACACCCCATTGGCAAAGCCATTCTTGCAAAGGCCAGGGCAGAAGTTGGGGCAACTGATGACAGTCCACTCGATGGCAGCGTGGCCGATTTTGAAGCCTCAGTTGGTAAGGGGGTTTCTGCCATTGTTGAACCCACTTCAAGTGCTAGTAGCGTTCGACATCGCGTTCTCGTGGGCAACGCACCATTCCTTCGTTCTAGGGATGTTCATGTACCACAATCAGCTGAACCCGAACCCGAAACTTCTAAAATTACTGCCTCAATATCCACTCGGCCCATTAAAAATAGCGAGCACGCTGCAGGGTCCACTCTAATCCACGTTGCCATCGACGGTAAATACGCTGGCACAATCACTCTTCAAGATACTTTGAAACCAACGGCAGCAGCTGCCGTCGCTGCTCTCCACCGAATGGGCCTCACCACCTCCCTTATCACGGGCGATTCCCTCTCCACCGCCCTGGCCGTTGCATCAGCCGTTGGTATTCCCGCCTCTTCAGTCCATGCCTCTGTCGTTCCCTCCGAAAAACAATCCATCGTCGCTTCTCTCCAAGAAAGTCCCTCGACCATAGTTGCCATGGTGGGAGACGGCATCAACGACTCCCCCGCTCTGGCTACTGCATCTGTCGGCATCGCCCTCTCATCCGGCACAGACGTTGCCATGGAAGCAGCCGACATTGTCCTCATGCGGTCCGACGATCTCCTCTCCATCCCTGCAAGCCTGTGTCTGGCCCGCTCAATCTTCCGCCGCATTAAACTCAACCTCCTCTGGGCCTGCATGTATAACGCTGTCGGCATACCTTTTGCCATGGGCCTCTTCCTCCCATTTGGCGGAATATCATTACATCCCATGGCTGCAGGCGCCGCAATGGCCGCATCAAGCGTCAGTGTCGTTGTTAGCAGTCTGCTCTTGAAACTCTGGAAACGGCCCAGTTGGCTCGATGTTCAGAAGCTGGAGCGTGAGGCTGAGCTAGGTCTAATTGATAGTAGCGGCCTGGGCCGTGGTGGGCGGGGATCGTGGTGGAAAAAGAGTCCGTTTACATACGACGGGAGAGGTCGGGTTCGACGCACCTTCGCGTGGCTAGTGACACTTGGTTCCGATGCTGTGAATAACGTTGCTAGGAAGCGGAGAAATTCTACTGACGATGAGGGCTATGTTCCTTTGAGGACTGTAGAGCCTGTCTCTGTATAGTGCGTTTTTCCTTTGTTTTTCCTTTCTGTTTTGGCTCGGTTTGTCCTTTTTTTAGCCGGAAGTATCGGCGTGCGTGTCTCTTTACCCCTTCTTCTATGATTCTGGGTATTTTCTCAGCTGTTCGGCTGTATTTTCTATCTTACATCGCCCCCAGATTTTTCTTTTTCCTGATCGTGTAAAAAACCCTTTTCCTCAAAAACATTGAGAACCCTTTGCTATCCTCTCTTATTGTTATATATGTATACGTTTGGGTAGTTGCTATTATTATTCCGCTTATTTTTCTTCCCTTTCTTCCCGTACATATATATCCAGACACAAATACCCTTCTCGCTTTCTACACTCTATCTAGCTTGATCCATTTTCCATTATTTCCTTTCCTTTCCTTTCCTTTTTATATTCTTTTATATTCTTTTATTCTTATTTCTCTCTCTCTCTCTCTCTCTCTCTCTCTTTTTCTTTTTCTTTCCTTTTTTTTTTTTTTTTTTCCACATCGACATTTCTGCATTTGTTGCCAAAATAACGCAAGACATGTAAAGCATTATTTTTCATTTTTCCATAGCTTCCAATATAACTGTCTCATTTTTCATTTTTCCGCATTCCCCCCACCCAATTAGGCAAGATTTTCATAAGGTTATGCTATGCGTAGATAATCTTGCAAATATAACAATCCCCTTATTGAAGGTCTGATATTCGCTAGTTGATAAACTCTCAAAGTATTTAGCTAGAGAGCCAAGTAACGTAGTGGTTTGTATCAACCCGATAATCTATATTTAATATTGTCTTTAATTGCCAAAGGAGTGCGGATTTGGTTTTTACTTCAGTGCCATTATTCCATTTCCGTTCAATCGTGGAGGTAGGTGTGTGTGAGGACACGCGGAGCCATACATCGACAGGCGGACTTCAGGAACACTTCCCCGATATAGGAAGAATTGAACTTCAGATCACCCCCTCTCTCTCCCACCAATACCTTTTTGCAGTAGGGGAGGGTATTTAGGATAGATACCTAGAAGATAGTGAATTTATTTTATCTACCTACGTAGCCAGACATATTGTGTGGTACTAAATATATAGTTTCAAAAACAACGTACCAAGGATAAAGTTGAGTAATTACTATGTAGATAAAATAAGACCTGAAAAAATCGCCTAGTAGAATAAGGTAGAATGAAAGGAAACTTCCAAGGGGAAAGGATATATATATCACGCCGCTCAAAAACCTCCTTTCTCATACAGTACCAAGACAAAGAGGGACAGACAGTCTGGAGATCCAACGAACAAATCCTAGAGGCTTATTTATATTCCAGCGCAATGATCTTTCGACCTAGCCTAGCCCCCGTATCCCATTCCAAATTTCCTCTCTCGAAAACAAGTACACTTTTGACCCCCATCCTCCCCTCATTTACTCGCCTTCTTTGGCGGCGGGGGGAAATACACCGTCGCCTGGCTCTGGCCTTCTGCACTTGCACTTCCATTTGGCGGGGGCGTGCCATTTGTTGTCGATCCGCTCATCTGCGGCGGCGTGGGACTATGTGGGGGCGACGGCATGCTGAAATTCTTCGCGTGGCCACCGTTCGGCATGTCGGGGGGCAGGAAATGGTTTCGCAGAGGCAGGTCTGTGGTTCCGCCTAGACGGTTGAAAGCTTGGGTGCGCGGTGTCATTGGGGGGAAAGCAGTGCTGCCGGGAGTCATGGGTGCGTGCATGGGGTAGATGGGCGACTTGAGACTCTTTAGGTCTTCGAGTTCCCTGCGCCGTGCCAGGCGTTGTCTTTGCTTTTCGTGGATTTCCTCGGTGGGGAGACAGGAGTAGACAGCGTAGACGGTGTGGACGAGGAAGAGTGCGCTGAGAAAAATGTTGGTGTTAGTGGGCATATTGTTTTGGGCATGACTACTCCCCATGTCTCATTTGAAGAGGGCACTTCTATTTTTGACTCAGCGAGTAGGGGGTGGCGTACAACATCAACACAGTGCAAGCAAATGACCCTTTTGCTTGCTGGCAATAGCCAACATTGGACGGGCTTTTAGCGACGTTGCAGTTTTTGGTGAGATACCAAGGTGCGCCTGGTTGCGGGCGTTCCGGATCGGTCATGTCAGGGGAAGCTTGGTATGCAATTGAAACCGCGTAAAGCGCGGTCAATGTTGTATGCACAATCACAGAGAATGGCGGGTAGAAGACATTCAAGATGAACATAGGTGCTTTGACGAGCATGAAAAACATACTCAACACCGATATGACAAGGTTGAAGTGCGTAATGCTGTAATTCGACGGTTAGAGCCGCAATATTCAAAACATGGACTAAGAAGTTTGCCCTAGTGATGGGTAAACTTGAGGAATGGTAGACGTACAATTGACTCCAAGGCTTGGGTGTAGAATATGGGCGGTAGTTTGCAAAGGCGTAAATCATGTCCTCTGGGCCGCTATTGAAGCCATTCTTAGCTCCATCTTCCCACAGTTTCGTTCGATATAGATCTGGTGATGCGATGCCGAACAGGGTGAGGACTGCAATGGTTATGGGAAGTTCGATGCCGAGCAAGATCTTGAATAGGATGGGCGGCCGATATTTCCGGGGCAGATACCACAACATTGTGTTTCTCGTGTATGGAGAATCGGGGGATAGATGGATGGAGTATTGGGGCGGCGATTGGGCGAGGGTCTAAGAAGATAGGGCCCAAAGCAAATGCCAGATATTAGGATGGATCGAAACCAACCCGCTATTAACTGTTTAGTATGGATGCAGCGTAGAGTATGAGAGACGAGTAGTTATCTGTTCTCTTCAGGCCAGGCCTGCTGGCAGGAGGGTCATCTCAATTATTGTTGTCGCCAGTGTTGATGCACGGACAGGCTGAGCAACAGGTCGAAGAAAGAGGAGGGAGAAGAGAAGATGGAAGAGAGGATGGTAGGGTGGGACAGGAAGAATGCCAGTGAAAAGAGTTGAGCGCATATGTGTATTTAGGTACTTCTTCAACTCCGGCGGGCATGCAGAGCTACTCGCTCCAATCCCTCGCCCGCAGTTGGAGGGAGATGTCTGCCGGGGTCATGTTGCTCGCCAAGGCAAACTCGCTGTATGAGGGGACAGGACGGACGAATGATGGACTCCCCACCACCCAGGGCACCACAAAAGTGCATCCGATCAACCCTGCAGGCCATGGTAGGAAGGCCAGGGAGGCCGGATTGTCAGACTGGTGCTGAGCGACAAGCTGCCGCTGGGCCCCATGAGTGGGTGGGAGAGATGCACCCACCCACCACCGTGTCCAGGCCTTGCAGCGAAGGAGAGCCGGCGCTCAGCCTAGCGCTGGGTGTGACGATTCAAGCCGGTGGCCAATGACAGATCTCAGACGGGGATCTTGCTGCATGCCATCACACGCTACCCAGTGGTGTCCAGCGCCCATTGCAGCGCAATTCAGAGAAGACAGCGTGTGATTGATCAGTTGTGGAAATGGGCTTCAATGAAGAAGAACCAGTTGCTTGAATCATGCATGAATGTACCCCGGTTGTTCAATCTCTCATCACAAAATCGCAACCGGCGACGGCGCATACTTGAGGGCGGGAGCTTGGGCCCGGATGCTGGAGTGTTTGTTCTCATTATTGTTCTTTGTTCCTTGTGTGCTAAGCTAGTAGTTATCTGACATACTCCGTACATACTGTACGGTTGGAGTTGCTGGCGCTTCGATCGATTCCGGTAGTTCAAATAGCAGTGGAATATCCCCTCACGGATAATCTGGATATCCTGCTGTGGATATTTTGAGCAGACAACATATCCTATTCTGTGCAATGCCTGTGCGGAATATGGCATTTGAAAATGCGCAACCATAGGAGGTTTCAACCTATCAAATCAGGAAAACATCCAGAACGTAGCTTGCAGGCGATCAAAACATTTAC